GGTTTGCATGAATGATTTTGAATACAGTGTAGTATATTTCCCTAGAAATATGGGTTGGTACTAGACGTATTTGGTAATGCTATTGCATAAATCACATCTTGCAAGACAAAACTACACACAACAAAAAACTCTTTATAAAATATCTCACCTATAAACAGGTTGTTAAACATGTTCTCACTTCCCTGCATTCTGTCAACACCTGTGCAGCATGTTTTTGAAGCAATTCTAGAGTACTTGTGATTAAAGCAGATTTGCACACTGCCCAGACCCCCTTAGCAACTTGATCTTATGGTAGGAGAACCATTTGTGGAACTGGAAACTTCATATTCAATAAGGACCTGGTAGGTACGAAATGATTCAAGGTGCTCTCTCTCTACTGCTGCCTTTTCCCACCCAAACGTGACCCTGCCATCTGGCAGCATGGAAAGGGGAAGTGTTTATCCCATACACCTGCTGTCTGACTCTTGGGATTCTAAAACTTAGGGCTGAATGGTGAGTTGGGATTACTTTGTAACCCGGCACTGCTTGGCAGCCTATTATGCTCCTCCAGCCAGCTCTCTCCCATTCCCCAGATCTTCACCACCCTGCTCAGTTCATCCCTCTCACCTTCTCTGTTCTCTCTCTCAGCATCTACTCTTGCCTTCTACTGAATTGAAAAAATTAAGGCTATCATACTGCATGGCCTACTTCAACTTCTTGTCCTTCTCTCTCTTATTAACCAATCCTCTACCTCCCTCACCTGCCTCTCTCTCGCTTTATTTTTTAAAAATTAAATTAAAAAAAAATTTTTTTGAGGCAGGGTCTCACTTGGTTGCCTGGACTAGAATGCAGTGGCATCATTACAGCTCACAGCAACCTCGAACTCTTGGGCTCAAGCGATCCTTCTGCCTCAGCCTCCCAAGTAGCTATGACTACAGGTGTCCACCACCACACCTGGCTATTTTATTTTATTTTTTGTACAGTCAGGGTCTTGCTATTTTGCTCAGGATGGTCTTGAACTCCTGGGCTCAAAGGATCCTCCCGCTTTGGCTTTGGCTAGGATTACAAGCATTAGCCACCACACTCAGACTCTCCTCGTTTTAGAGGAAAAACATATTTCCTTTCCTGTAAAAGGCTAACTTTTCTACTATACTCTGATTCCTTTCTTTCCCAGGACAACCATCATATGTTATTGGATTATCTCTCTCTTCTTATTTTTAACATTTTGCTCTCTCTGGGATCATTTCCTGGAGTTGAAAAATATTCTTAAACCCCTCCATGTTTTTTAAGATAAAGAAAGAAGAAATCCTTCTCTATCTTGTATTCTGATTAATTATCATTCTTTCTTTTTAAAATCAGGTTCAAAAAGGAAAATCTACCTTTGCCTCTACTTCCTCAGAGCGGATTCATTCATGTTTCTATTCATAGTATTTACTATTTTAATTTAGTTACAAATTTGAAATCACATGTGTAAAATAATATGTCATTGTGGAGACATTCTATACCTCTTCAAATTATCAATCAAGCGTAATGGTAGAATATACAAATTTTCAGATATTTAGGGATTCAGAAACTTTATGTCCCATGCAACCTTTCTTGGAAAGATATGGGAGAATATTTTCCACCCAAGAGTAGGGCATGGTATCTGGAAAGGTAATAGAGAGCAGCAAAAGGAAGCCCTGGGTTATGTAGCAGGCATAGAGAAAAACCAGTCCTGGTCACAACAAGAGCATGGAGTCCTCGGGGAGAAAAATTGCCAAGGGAAAAAAATATGAAACCAACATACTCGAGTGTATGCAAAAGGTTATTGATAAGTAGGTGACAGAAATGTTAGAGGATTTGGGAGGGAAATGTTAGTGGTACATCGAAAATCAAACAAATAAAAGTTGGTATTTTTAGTTGTTTGATTTTCAATGATACCACTCCAACTTCAACTCTAAGAAAAATGAAGTATTGAACAAGACTTGATGTGTGGAAGTTAAGTCCTCATCCACCATAATGGGAAGTCAATAGCTAACACCGTAAACCTAACATTGCTGAATCGAGAGATAGATGCATAATGTTTAGCTAAAAATATGATAGCAAATGCCAGAGAAAACAAGAATAGTTAAGAATGGATTTGAGAGATTGCCTCCGGAGAGTATGGCTAAAGTACAGAGTAGGGTGGAAGTAAGGATTCTTTTTTGTTATAAATATTTTAGTATTACTAGGGGTTTTAAATTACCTGCATGTGTTATTTTAATTAAAATAATTAAAACATAGATATAAGAAGTTGATGGTAGTGTTCTCTGTGATACACCAACAGTCTGCCTAGGTGATTTTTTCTATTCAGGTTAGTAATTGCTATTATTATTACTCTGTAACTAATATCTAGCTGCCCCGCAAAGTCTCTGTTTTCCCTATAGCCCACTCCAGTGAATGCTGATTTTACATTTACATTTCAGATAACTCGAGATTTGGTTGGGCTGGGGTAATAGAATAGGTATGGACCTTGCTCTTCATTATCTCTTCCAGATAATTCACCCCTCTCTTGTCCTAAAGAAAACCACATCTCTTCTGAAGCTTATTAGAGGCCATTAGACTTCACAATCCAATACTTCATGTTGCAAGTTCCTGGTTATCTGCTCTTCTTCACAGATGACTTTAGCATCTGGTTTACTGTTTTCCTACCCAACTCTTAATCCTGTTGTGATTCCTAGTAGATTATCTGTCCAGCACCTAGGACCCACAGTTCCATGACCCAATCACTTCCATTTATATTTTCTCTTCCTCCACTTCCCACTCTCATAGGCTTGATTCTGCCATTTCCAAGCATCAATTGTCTCCCAAACTTCTGTTTTTGAGCATCTTCCTCTTCGTCACCTCAAATATTAAATAGTTCTAAGTCTTTTAAAATGTTAAAAGATGTAAAAGAAAACGTAAAAATCATGAGGAGAGAAATAGAAGGGATAAAAAAAGAGATAAAAATAGAAGTTATAGAGCTGAAAAATATAATACCTGAAATAAAGGTGTACTGGATGAGGTTAACAGCAAGGTAGACACTGCAGATGAAAGATTAGGGAACTCAAGAACATAGCAATAGATATTACCGAAAATAAAGCAAAGTGGAAAAAGTCTGAAAACAAAAATGACTAGAGCTTCAGTGAGTTGTGGGGCAATGTCAAGATGCAGGATTGGTGTCACAAAGCAAAGAAGAGTAGGAACAGCTGAAAAACTACTCAAAGAAATAATAGCTGTAAACCTTCTAAATTTGATGAAAATTATAAGCCCATGGATCAAGAAGCTCAATGAACCTCAAGAAGAACAAACATAAAGAAAACCACACCAAGGTACATCATAATCAAATTGCTGAAAATCAATGACAAAGAGAAAATTCTTTTTTAAAAAAAGGCAGAGCGTTTATGTGTGGGTGTGTGTGTGTGTTTATGTGATAGGTGGGGAGGAATGTGATACTGTCATAGTCCATTTTGTGATGCTGTAACAGAATACCTGAGACTGTGTAATTTTTAAAGAATAGAAATTTTATTTCTTATAGTTCTAGAAGCAGAGAAAGTATAAGATCCATGCATCAGCAGGTTTGGTGTCTGATAAGGGCCCAGTCTCCACTTCCAACATGGCTCCTTAAATGCTGCATCCTACAGAGGGGAGGCACACAGTTCCTTCCATAGCAGAGAGTTCAAGAATCAAGAGAGCCCACTCCCAGGATCCATTTCCTGAAGGCATTAAGCCCTCTCATGAAGGTGTGGATCCCTCACGGCCTAATTACCTCTTAAAGGCCCCATGCACCAATACCATTAAATTGGCAATTAATTTTCAACATGAATTTTTGAAGGGCACAAACATTCAAAGTACAGCAGATACCATACAGAGACACAAAGATAAGAGTGACAATAGGCTTCTTGTTATATAATGAGTAGGCTGGATGACAATAGCATGATATCATTAATGAGCTGAAAAAACAAAGGTCAATCTAATGATCTAAATCCAGTGAAAATGTCTCTCAAAAATGAAGGGGAATAAAGATAATTTCAGAACAAAGGAACCTGAAAAAAATCCATTGCCAGCAAACCTACATAAGGAAAATGATATCATATTTGGATCTCCACAAAAGAATAAGGAACACCAGAAATAGTAAGATTACAGACATTTTTTTTTAAATCTCATTTTTAAGCCTTCTTAAGCATAATTGTATTAGTTAAGATTTTCCAGAGAAAAAATACAATTTTCCAGACCCAACTGGATGTGTATGTATGTATGTAAAGATAGATAGATACAGGTTTATTTTAAGGAATTGACTCACACAATTGGGGAGGTATAGTAAATCCAAAATCTGCAGGGCAGGTTGGCAAGCTAGAGACCCAATGAACATTGCAACTTTAGTCTAAAGGTAGAGGCTGGAGTCCCAGGAGAGCCAGTAGTGTAATCCCAGTCGGAGGCTGAAGACGTGAGACCTGGGAGGGCTGATGGCATAAGTTCCAGTTCAAGGTCTTGAGAAGATCATTGTCCCAGTTTGAAAACAGGCAGGCAGAGCCTGAATTTCCTCTTCCTATCCTCTCCCCTTTATTTTATTCAGGCCTTCAGCAAATTGAATGAGGCCCACTCACATTGGGGAGGGCGTCTGCTTTACTCAGTCTACCTTTCCAAATGTTAATCTCATTCAGAAACACCCTCACAGACCTCTCAGAATAATTTTTTTTTTTTTTTTGAGATAGGGTCTTGCTTTATTGCCCCAGCTAGAGTGCAATGTCATCATCACAGCTCACTGCAACCTCAAACTCCTAGGCTTAAGTGATCCTCCTGCCTCAGTCCAGAGTAGCTGGGACTATAGGTGCACACCACTGCGCCTGGCTAATTTTTCTAAAATATTTTTTGTAGAGATGGGGTCTCACTCTTGCTCAGGCTAGACTAGAATATTTAACTAAACATTTGGGCCCCTCATGACCCAGTCAAGTTGACATAGAAAATTAACCATCATGGGCAGTCTGCTGGCAGAATTCCTTCTTGCTTAGGGGAAGTCAGTCTTTGTTCTAGTAAGGTCTTCAACTGATTGGATGAAGCACACTCACACTAGGTAGATGATCTGCTTGACATCCTTATTAACAACGTATAATTGAATCAATACAGGACCAGGTGACACTATCTGGCATACATTAAAATATAAGCCCTTTTTAGGTTGTGAGTTTGAAAAGATCCATTTTCAATATATAATACTATAATATTTTTTACAGGAATATTTAGTTATGAGTTAAGGCACATTTGAGAGAACCAAGAAACCTTGCCACAAGGTTCCCCACATCATGGGAAAGATGGTAGCTTATGTATAGATTTTTGAAGCTTTTCCCAGAATTGGAAATGGCCAAGAGACATTAAAAAAACAAAAAACAAAATACCCCTAACTAATTTGTTTTGAAACCAGGGAATGGTGCCAATCACATTCCACAAAATTCAAAGAATTTTCATTAGATATGATGCAATGAGACCGGGCTGAAGTGACCGAGAAGAAAGGAAATCCTGGACACCCTACTGGAACCCCTTAATTTAAATGGATAAGGGTTAAGGCAGGGTGGGAGATGTGGCTATGAAAGTAGGACACACAGCTTCTGACAATAAGTAGGCTGGGAATTTTCTTTGATCTATCTTCTCAGTTACTTAGAGCTTCACATCAAGGCAGATGAGGACTGTCCCAGACAGGAGTAGCATCAGCACTCACTTTCCCTTCAGGAGAATGGGAGACTGTTCCCAATGGGTAGATGTACCAGAGGCGGTTATCCAGCAGCAAACTGGACATGGAAAACTGCCTTCCTATGAGAGAGGATGAAATGTGGAATTAAATAACAAAGGCAAACTCCCTCATTCTCACCCGATCCTGGGTAGGTCTGACCTCAGTTCTCTGCAATCTTCTTTAGATTTCTTTTGGAATGGTTTTGAGAAAATACACCATCGACCCTTCAGCTGGCAGTAAGAGGAGGTTTGAGGTGGTGCCCAGGATCAATGTGGCACCTCAGGAGAACTCATGCCTACTCCTTGGGGTAAATATCAGGTCTGGTGTTTACCACCATATTTCTAAATATTATGTCAATGCTCTATTTTTTTAATTTTAGAAATTATATTGACTTCCTATTTTGGTAGATGCCTGTTTAGCACGCATGTCTCCTAACTTATCTCTTTTTAATCTTCTGGCATTGTTACATCACAGTTTTTAGTTAAATAACTATTAAATATTTGCATCGCTGGACTAAATAGATCCTGCACTCTGCTTTGCCAAGTAGTGTGCTGATCATTTCCTTTCTCATTCAACTTTTTGTTTCCCTTAGTTAGTAATTTTCTGATTTATTTTCATTTGTTTCTTTCTTTGTACCTTATAGTCTTTGCTAATTTTTCTTCTTCCTTTCAGTAAAATGTTCTAGGGGTCAAATATGGCAGGAATCTATTCATTCCATTGATTTTCCTGAAGACATTTCTTTGATTTTCTCTGATTATGCCCTAAACCCATTATCCTGATGTCATCCTGGGACTTCCTTTTGCTTTTCTCCTGTGTTAGATCCCCTATTTCCTGGATACCTATCTTTTTCTTTCTTGGTTTAATCCCTCTTTTAGTGATGCTTGTAATTCTAGAGCTTCCTGAGAAAAGAAACAGAGGAAATGATTTTTTTTTTTTGAGATTTTGCATGTCTGAAAAGATTTTTTTTTTCTATTCTCATATCTGTTTAAGTTAAGATATTGACTTCTAGGTCTTTACCCTGAGAATTTGGAAGACCTGTTCAAGTTGTCTTCTTTAAATTTCTTTAGAAAATACTTAAATAGCAAATATTATGTACTAGACACTGTTCTGAATACTTCATAAAAATGAACTCACCTAATCCTCATCACAGCACCATGAGGCAGGTACCATAATTAATGCCATTTTTTTTCCCATGAGGCATCGACTGCAAGGCCACCGTTGCTGGTGGGCAGTGGAGTCAGGATTCAAACCCAGGTAGCCAGGCCCCTGGCTGTCACACTACAACGCTGCCTCTGATGTAACTGATGTAAAGTCAAATGGCATTTGGATTTCTGTTCCTTTTATGGGACTTGGTTTTTCCTTCTGGAAGTTTTTGGGGCCTTCTTTTTATGTTTGATGCCCTAAAATTTTATGATCATGTGTCCTAGGGATCTTTTAAATTTTATTTTGTGTGATAAATAGACCCTTTTAATTTATAGTTTTGTGCCCTTTAATCCTGAGAATTAAGTGTAGTGTGTGTGTGTGTGTGTATAAAATAATTTCCCTCCCACCATTTTCTCTGTTCTCCTTCTCTGTAGCTCTTCTTCTGGATTGATACCTCTTTATTTTCTTCCATCAGAGCCATTGGCATTCATCATGTCACTCAGATGTCACTCAGATCAGGCACTCGGATGTCCCTACCAACATAGCTTTCATCAGAGGCAGTATTAACACTTTAGTTGCAAGAAATCTTTTCTTTCCTTGTTCTACTGTCCTGGGGCAGGGGTGGCAGATTTTCTTGATTTTTTCTTCCAATTCTTCTATTGATTTTTTAGAAAGCCTTATAGTTATATGTTCATTTCCAGGATCTCTATCTTGTTTTCTGAATTTTTTAAAGGTGGCTTGCTGTTGATTTATAGACACAATATATTCTTTTGGTTCTAAGGGATGTATTACAGTTTTTAAAATTTCAAGATTTCTTCTGCTTTTGTACCCTTTTCCCCTTCAAATTATTTTTTACAGTTTGCTTGTACCTCTATTTTTAGATTAGTAGAAATGTTTTGGAGATGCTTGGTTGTCCATTTGTACTGGAAAGCAAGAGATCCAAAATCTCAAGGCCCCATTTTTAGTTGTACTTCCCTTATATAATACAGGACAACTGCACTTTCTGTGTCTTTTCAGGGTTTGGCAGAGTAAATGGACTTTCTCCTCATCTGTATCTCTCACTGCAAGCGCTTAAATTTCACTTTCTACTGTTCTTATAGGTAATCACTATTTTCCCATCTGTTTCCACCTTCATATTTTTGTGGTTTACAAATGACTCCAGCATTAAAGTTGGAATTTGTATTTCTGTTCTCATTTTCCTTGTTGTTTGGAGATTTTGAGAGAAAAGGTTGTTTGAGAGAAAAAAATATGTGGAAGTATCTTGACTTTGCCATTTTATTTTGTTTTATTTTGAGACAGAGTCTTACTCTGTTGCCCTGAGTAGAGTGCTGTGGCATCAGCCCAGCTCACACCAACCTCAAGCTCCTGGACTCAAATGATCCTCCTGCCTCAGCCTTCCAAGTAGGGGACTATAGGCATGCACAACCATACCCGGCTAATTTTTTAATTTTTAGTAGAAATTGTCTCTCAGTCTTGCTCAGGCTGGTCTCAAACTCCTGAGCTCAAGTAATCCTCCTGCCTCCGCCTCCCAGAGTGCTGGGATTATGGGCATGAGCCACCGTGCCCGCCAGCTTTGCTATTTTACATGAAAGTCCATCACTCCTTCTTCTTGAAACCCCTCCCTTTTTTGGCTTCTGTGACTCTACCATCTTTAGGTTCTCCTCTCATTTCTTTCTTCTCTACGACATGTCTAAATGTTGGAGTTCCTCGGGCTGTGGTGTTTGGCTATTTACTCATCTTCTAAACTTTTGCTCAAGATGTTCCAATCCATTCACAGGATGTTAAAATACCTTCTGCATTCTGATGACTCCAAAATTTATATTTCCATTCTGTTTTTCTCCACGGAGTCTCCATCTTTTCTATTTTTCATATTATCTCAAACTTAACATGTCCAAAACTTAACTCTTGATTTTTCAGCCCTAAACCTGTTCTTCCTCTCTTCTGTCACATCTCAATAAATAGCAGCACTATCCACCAAGTTGCTCAGGCCAAAAGTCTCATAAAGTTTTCCACTTGTTTAACAACCCCTTCCCCATTAAATTTAATCCAATCTATTTAATCCAAGATTCGTATTCCAAAAAATGAAAATGGAATTTTATAAAATCACCTATGAAAGAAAAAACAAAAAAGGATCAGGTTATGTGAACAAACAAAATCCAATAAGATGCTATCTAGAAGAGACATCTAAAATGAGGTAACAATGAAAGTTTAATCAGTATTTGTGGATTCAGCAAATCAATGAATCAAATTATTAAGTGTCTACCATGTGACAGACATTGTTCTAGAAGCTGGGTTAAAAATGTAAGAATTAACAAAAGCAGGTCATACAAATATAAACAAAGATAAGTCAAGAGTCCTTATTTCAACATAGGAATGTTTTGTGTTCTTATAAAAATTAACAAGTAGGACAAGCAGGAGTACTGTTTTATTGTTAACATATATAAACCTCAGTAAATACATAACTGTAGTGAAATTATATACACTGAACAACAGAATGCAAAATCTATCTGTAGTGTGTGAAAAAAAGATCTACAGTGGGGGGACCATTAGAATATTCCTTTGAGTCCTTAACTAATCAAAGAGACAAAAGTATATGTGATTATAAAGAAATTGAATATAATTAATGAGATTTATTTGCATATATAACACATTTTATTCTTTGCCCCAAACCCTTCTTTTTAATATTTTATGTTCATAAATAAATATATTTTATTTTTATCTATATTTATATCTTTTATCTATAGAAATAAGTAAATACATTCATACAGATAAAAATAAAGCAAGGTGAAAACTGCAGTATTAATGGTGTTTTTTTTTTCTGAGTGGTGGTATTTCTAATTACCAATAGTTTTCTGTTATTGATGGGTGTTTTCTAATATATCTACAATGAAGATTTATTGCTTGTATAATTAGAAAAAGGTAAAGGGGTGAGCTAGCCAATCTATGTTAAATGACATACAGAGATGGACCGTCCTAAGAGAGAGGTGGTGAATAGGATAGAGGAAATGTGTACACAGGAAAAAAAAGCTTCAGTATGTCTTGGGAAGCTTTAAGAAACTGCAAGAAGTAAAAGAAATTTAAGAAAAATACATTATTAGTTCATATATGGAAAAGGAAGCCCAGGCAGTGCAAAACAAGAAGGAAAACTCTCATCACAGGCAGAATGTTGTTCCCAAGCAGACCACAAAGTAAAGAACAGAAAGGGAAATAGATCTCAAAGGAATATAGATACTAAAATGAATGAGAACCCTGGAAGGATTATGTGACTTTGCTGTTGATTTTGGAAAGTGAGGGAAATTTCAAGCCTCTTGAAATGATAAAAGACACTGTGGTGTATTCAAAGGAATCCTGTGGAATTGGCATACTTGAGTTAGAATTCAAGGACTGTTGGTTAACCAGCTTGTAACCTGATTACTTAGAGGTCTCTGACCCTCATTTTCTCATCTATAGAATGGGGATAATATGTTTTCTTTGGATGATTGTTCTATTGAATCATCCAAAGAAAGTATATATACATATACATATGTGTGTGCACATATGTGTGAAAATACGTATATATACACATAAAGGAATACTGAGGAGGTTAGGAAAAGCTTTTGAAACCAATCAAGCTGGGTCTTAAAGAATTAATTTGATAATGAATAGGTATTGAGTACTTACTACAAACCAGGCACAGGGGAGATAGAGGGAAACAATAGGAACATAGTCTCTGCCCTTATGAAATTTACATTCCAGTGATGCGTAAGAATTTTCTAGTCAAAGACCGTGTATCTTACAAAATAGGTGCGATGCTCACCACCTGGGGGTTGGACACGCTTGATGTTTTGGCAAGGCGGGGGGTGAGGGGAGGAATGGCAGGGGCAATATATGTAACCTTAACAATATTTGTACCCCCATAATATGATAAAATAAAAGGAAAAAAAAAGATGGTATATCA